AGTCCTGTCCAGTGTGTACCAAAGAAAGGGGGAGTGACAGTGGTGGCCAATGAACACAATGAATTGATACCCACTAGAACCGTGACTGGTTGGAGGGTGTGCATAGATTATAGAAAGCTCAATGCCGCCACTAGAAAGGATCATTTCCCGCTGCCATTTATTGATCAAATGCTGGATAGACTCGCTGGGAAGGAATTTTATTGTTTCTTGGACGGATACTCAGGCTATAACCAGATTGCTGTAGCACCAGAGGACCAAGGTAAGACAACCTTCACTTGTCCATATGGAACTTTCGCTTTCAGAAGAATGCCATTTGGTTTGTGCAATGCTCCAGTGACATTCCAGAGATGTATGATGGCAATTTTCACTGACATGGTAGAAAAGACTTTGGAGGTGTTTATGGATGATTTCTCAATTTTTGGTGATTCTTTTGGTGACTGCTTGAAAAATTTAACTAAGGTGCTTCAAAGGTGTGAAGAAACCAACTTGGTCCTAAACTGGGAAAAATGCCATTTTATGGTGACAGAAGGGATTGTTTTGGGCCACAAAGTCTCACAAAAAGGCATTGAAGTGGATAGAGCAAAGATAGAAATCATTGAGAAATTGCCCCCTCCTAGCTCTGTCAAGGGAATTCGGAGTTTCTTGGGGCATGCTCGTTTTTATAGATGATTTATCAAGGATTTCTCTAAAGTATCCAAGCCATTATGCCTTCTTTTGGAGCTAAACAGATCATTCGACTTTAATGAAGATTGTCAGCGTGCATTTTCTGATTTGAAGAGAGCACTTGTGACAACCCCTGTGATTGTTGCACCGGATTGGGCACTTCCATTTGAGCTGATGTGCGACGCCAGTGATCACGCAGTGGGGGCAGTGCTCGGCCAGAGAAAAGGGAAGCTATTTCATTCTATTTATTATGCTAGCAGAACACTTACTGATGCCCAATTGAATTATACCACTACAGAAAAAGAACTATTGGCTGTGGTATTTGCTTTTGACAAGTTTTGATCTTATCTTGTGGGGACAAAGGTGACGGTATATACAGACCACTCAGCCATAAAATACCTCATCTCAAAGAAAGATGTCAAACCAAGGTTGATTCGGTGGATCTTGCTACTTCAGGAATTTGATCTTGAAATCAAAGATAGGAAGGGAACCGAAAATCAAGTGGCAGACCATCTCTCTAGACTCGAGCAAGGGAATGGGGCTGAGTCACATATTCCTATTTAGGAGAAATTTCCTGATGAGCAGCTCCTTGTAGTGCAGCAAGCTTCACTGCCATCGTATGCGGATTTAGCAAATTTTTTGGCAAGTGGCAAGGCACCTCCGGAAATGAGCCGACAACAGATGAAGCGATTCTTCCATGATATGAAATCTTACTATTGGGAGGAGCCTTTTCTGTATAAACAGGGTGCGGACCAAATTTGGAGGCGATGTGTTCCACAAGAGGAGACATTGAGTGTTTTGCATCATTGCCATGCTTCACCATATGGAGGTCATTTTGGGGGTTCAAGAACTGCTGCCAAGGTATTACAATCCGGTTATTTTTGGCCTACACTCTTTAAAGATGCTTATGAATTTGTCAAGATGTGTGATTGGTGTCAACGTGTGAGAAACATCTCACAACGTCATGAAATACCCTTGACTAATATCTTGAAAGTTGAGTTGTTCGATGTATGGGGAATTGATTTTATGGGGCCTTTTCCACCCTCATATGGCAACTTGTACATATTGGTAGCAGTTGATTATGTATCAAAATGGGTTGAGGCAGCGGCATTCCCCACTAATGACTCAAAGGTGGTGATCAAATTCTTGCATAAGAACATTTTCACTTGTTTTGGGACTCCATGAGCCATGATAAGTGATGAGGGGACTCATTTTGGGAGCAGACAATTTGAGGGGGTGCTCGCCAAATACGGTGTCAAGCATAAGGTTGCCACAGCATATCACCCCCAGACAAGCGGTCAAGCAGAGATTTCTAACAGGGAAATCAAGGGAATCTTAGAGAAGGTCGTGAACCCAAACCGAAAGGATTGGTCATTGCGATTAGATGATGCACTATGGGCCTACCGGACAGCCTTCAAGACACCTTTGGGAATGTCCCCCTACCGTCTTGTTTTTGGCAAGGCATGCCATTTACCATTAGAATTGGAGCACAAGGCTTATTGGGCAACAAAGAAGCTCAACATGGATCTACAAGCTGCTCGGCAAGCAAGGTTGCTGCAATTAGATGAGTTGGAAGAGATGCGGATGTTCTCGTATGAGAACGCAAAGTTGTACAAAGAAAAGACTAAAAGATGGCATGACAAGAGGATCAAACCGAGGGAATTTGAACCAGGACAACAGGTGCTGCTATATAATTCGAGGTTGAAATTATTCCCAGGCAAACTCAAATCCAGATGGTCAGGACCATTCACAGTAGCCACGGTTTTTCCACATGGAGCTGTGGAGTTACAAGAGGAGAAATCCGGGAGAAAGTTCTTGGTAAACGGACAACGTGTCAAGCATTATTGGGGAGGACCTATGGAACGTTCCAAGACCTCTGTCACATTGAGCGATGACTAAAAAGGGGAAGACGTCAGGCTGAAGACATAAAAACAAGCGCTATTGGGAGGCAACCCAAAGTGTTTAGTTTTTTTCATTTCATTTTATCTTGATGCTTTCTTTTTAATTTAAGTTGAGTATTTCTTTTATTTCATCATATTTCTCATTTTAATTTTGAGGTTTCAAGCAAAGCACTGACTTTACTATTCAGTGGCAGGGCAGTTAAGTATCACAGTTGGCTGTGTAGTTCACAGGAATCAAGTTGCTGTGGATTGCTGCAGCAATTGAGAGGCGAATAGAGCAGGCCTAAAAATGGGAGCAATATTTTGCTGCAGCATCGTGCAGCATCACATGGCATTGCGACCGAGAAGTCAAGGGGTTTAAATAGGACGGCGTCGTTTTGGCAGTTATTAAAGCAGAATGTCAGCCATTTAAAACGACGGCGTTTTGGGCTTAAATTCAAATTGCCCAAATTCAAATCCCATTCGATCCCTCATTTCAAAAAATCCCCCTTCTTCATTTCCCCTACCCTAGTTTTTTTTTATCCCCCTCATTCTCTGCGCAGAACCGCCGCTGATCTCTCCCACCGCCTAGCCCAAGAAAAACGTCCACTCCTGAAATCACCTTCACCATGGGCAAGAAGAGCTTTGCCAAGCGGCCTTTCTCCT